GCCAAGAAGAGAGAAGAAGAAAGAAGAAAGAAAGAGAGAGAGAAAAGAGGAGGAAAGGAGAGAAGAAAAGTCTGGTTCGAATGAGAGAAAAATTACCTCTCCCATTTGGCCGGACATGTTTTATATTACTAACATAATGGAAAAGACACATGTGCCCTTACTTAAATGAGGGACACTAGTTCTAATATAATATTACAGATCAGCAACCTCAACGTAAGTATAAAGACAGAAGTACCCCTACATACTCGACACTAACAATATTGCAAGATTACTATAGAATTTTGTTGGCATCTAGTATGATTGAATGGAAATATTAACCTATTTGAAGCCAAATCATTGCCAATAGATTGCGACAATCATCCATCTGACAAATTCCTGATGTCCAGAATAACATTATTCTGTAATCCGAAAGAAACTTAATCACATGGTTTGAATGCCAATAAGGAAAGAAAGAAATAATTGCCATATAACAGAAAATAATCAAGCCAGTTGCTTGTGATTGCTCAAGCTCAATTAAGATGCAAGTGGTATTATACTATTTTTTGCTGGCCTAACAATGTCACTATCACACTCACTAAGTAAGTTTTATGGTTACAAGAATTATAAAGGACCCATCTTCTGAAAAAATGCAAAATACAAATTATTATTATCTCCATTGTGAACAGTAATAACCAAACACACTTATGTGTCTTACAAGTTACAAATAATAGAAAAATAGCAAAAACAGTGCATTGTACAATATAATATTCGTAAAATCATCTCTTTGTACCTTTGGGAGTAGATAACTAAGCTCTTAAAGAACTAAAAGGGACAATTTTATGTCTCCAACAGTTTTGTCTGACAGTAGTAAACATATTATTGGTCCTACATTTCTAAGATCCAGAGCACGTGATCGATATATCATAGGATAAAGAGCATCATTTTGGAAGAAAAAAACTTGAACATCTAATTCCAATTCCTAAATTTTAATAATTTCTTTTTTAAGGGACATAGACCAGATTCGCTGATATATGCCTGTGTTAGCTATTCAGAAATTTTCTTCTCAAGATTGGACAGATGGGCTCTTTATTTGGTATTGTTTCTTAATCTCTTTATATATTTTTATCAATATTATCTTTTCATACTTTATTTATTTTTTGATTGTTTTGAACTTTTGATGAACTTTGGCTTGGAGTCAAGGCAACCCCTCCCTTTTCAGTATTTGTTTGAGGCATCTCAAATAAAAATGGAATGCAGAAAATGGGGAATTAACTCTTTTTTTTTTTTTTCTTGTGTTATCCATTTTCTTTTGGGTGTGGATGGGGGGAGGCATTGGTTTTTAGGGCTGCTTGCCTTGCTACAAGCCTGCAACGATACCACTGTAAGGGCTTCTCGCCTACCAAAGTACCGTGGACTTTTGGGGCTTGCACTATAGTCTTTAAATTGTGCTCTAGAATCAGTGATTTGAAATTCTTAGCTGTATAGCCATGTCTGTTGCTATAACTGTTATTTCTATTTCCATCCAGTTAGTAATCTATGATACCCAGATATGTTACATGCCTAGCATACCAGTGTCATAAGTATTGGATATGATATCGGATACTGCATGGATACTTCTAGATGTATTCCGTGGCATTAAGACTTAAAATATGTAAAGTGGTTTATTTTAACAAACTATACTACAATAATATTTGCATGTGTCAGAAATTTAATTAAATGTGGCATGACATAAGTCTTGAGACATGACATATAGCTTCAAAAACTAGATAGAAACATATGATAGAAGCATATTACATGGGATAACTATACTCGTATCCGTGTTCAGAATTTTAGGAAATGGAGAGTTGGATTCCTGTTTCCAACATTAGTGTCTATGTCCGTGTCTGTGCCCATATCCATTTCTGGGCATCATAGGTAGTGATTCATGATTTCTTTTAAATGCAACTTAGTTTTGCTTGTAGTTGTGTTTATTTTTGCATTTGATTCTCATTGCAGGTTTCGAAGCATAGATGGATTAAAGTATCTAATCCAGGGTGGCCTGGACTCCTTGGAAACTTCTAGGCAAGCAGTACTTGAACGACTTTTAGAAGTTGACCAGACAATGGAAAGACCAAGAGATGAGGATATAGAACGAGTACGATACTGCCCAAAATGTGTCAATGGTGATGGTCCTCTATGTGTTCTCTGTGAACTGGACGAGTTATTTCAGGTCAACTAATTTGTTCTTAATCTTGATGTTTGACTGTTATAAGTGATGCTTGAATATTCTCTTTATGTTCCCATCATTCTTTCTTCAGGTATATGAGGCAAGGTTATTTCGTCTTACAAGGGGAGATGATGGAGGCATGATTGCATCTGCTGAGGAAGCAGTAGATTTGCAAAAGAAAATTTCTGCACGAAACCGATTCTATATGTCTTTGTCATGTCCGGATAAAAGTTCAGCTTCATCCAATGTTGGAAATGAAGAGGATAAAAGGAAGAGGGATGTCAGGGCAAAAGTAGTGGTAAGTTCCTGCCCTTACAGTCAAATGGTACTTTGAACTATAGATATTACTTCATCGAATTGTTTAAGCATTTAGTGATGAAATCTGAAGTACCACTTGGTTGGTTATGAGCAGTTTCCCAATGGTGTAAATTTAGCATTCTGATACCCGTTACTTGGTGGATTGAGTCTCACCATTCAGTGGATCCTTTTAAAGAGATAAAGTACACCAAGAAGTAAACCTGATTGGATGACTCTGATAATCTATTCTGTTGTGTTTCTTGTGAATGGTTCAAATAAGTTCAATAAAATTCCCATCTTTTATTCATTTCATTTTTATTTTACAAGCTTGGGTTAGCTTTTGGACAATATTTTTTATTGGTAATATTGTAAGCTTTATTGATTATGAATAGTAAAAGACTGCTACGTCATTCCAAATATTCTAATAAAATCACTTTTCCATTGATAAAAAAAAGTAAAAGAATGCTATGTAAAATGGTGATTGCCCCTCATATTAGGCTAGTCCCTACTACTTAATCTCTTGCATATTCTTTTATAAACAACATTAATTGGTTACCCGTAAAATAGATCTTCCCTGTTTAACTCTTCCTCTGCTAAAGAATTGACAATGCCGTTTGCTGATCTGTGCACCCAAATAAATGTAGTAACTGGTTCCATTGGTAGATGTTTAACTTCCCTCAATGTTTACTGGTGTTGTAGTGTTCCTTGTTTATCATTCTTCAGTTCAGTCAACCCACCAAAACCTTGGAATCCTCTATAGGGCCCAAAAAGTGAACTAGAGTTGTCTCATAGATCTAAGTAGACTTCCTATTCCTGAATTGCCAGGACTTGACTAAAAATGCCTGTGAGGAATGAGGTTGTGAAGTGAAGGATCTGAAAACATTTTTAGTCGTGATGGTTGTCATTTCTGCAATCATAAGAGGCAATTGTTTTCTATGGCTATACCAATCAAAAAAATAATTTTATGTGGTTATTAGTTAATTAGTTGTACTATTTACCAGGAGGGTGGGGAATAATGCAGGAAGAAAGAAATGTGGTGCATATCAGCATATGGGAAGAATTTTGAAGCTCTAAGGATAGAATTCTCAACCTTCCTACCATTGGTGACATAGGTTCTACGGAAGCTGAAGTGAGAACTGTCCTAGTGGGAACCCACATTGCAAGACATCTTAGATTACCCTTTTTAGCTATCGAAGGTGATTCAGCCAATGCAATCAGATGGAGCCGAAGAGTTGGTACTAGGTAGTGGACCCTGGAGAGTAGCATATCTTTTGAATGAAATGAGAGAATTAACAATTGGAAGAGCTTAGATTAGTTTTTTTTTTTTTTTGAGCCCCAAAATTTACTCCCGGTGGAGGGGTGGCCACCGAAATTTTATTAATATGAAGAAAAATGTGGAGGGGGGGACGTGAAACCTTACCCCTCACTCTATACAAAGGGAGCCTGGCTCATATAAACATTAAGCGCCCAGGCAACCTAAAATCAATGAATTCTCAAAAAAGGAAGACCTAAACCATCTGCTGTAATCAAGTGTTGTACATGGGAAGGAAGTGTATCTGTGCAATCATAAACAGTTTTCTGAGACTCTAAGCATTCAAGCTTCGCAAGAGCATCTGTCGGTTGGTTAGCCTCTTTGTAAATATGGACACAAAAGAATTCCAATCTATTCCTAAGCTCCTGAACCTGAGACAACCAAAACCAAAGTTTCCAAGGGGTTGTACAAGTACCATTGAGAATATCAATCAGAAGTTTGGAATCTGATTCCACCATTATCTTCTGTAGATTAAGAGCAACCGCCAGGTGTAAGCCATCTAGCAAAGCCATAGCCTCTGCGACTAAATTGGAGTCTGAACCATAGGTGTTAGAGAAAGCACTAATGAAACCATTTCTTCCATCTCTGATGATACCCCCTCCACCACATGGGCCAGGATTTCCTCTAGAAGCACCATCAACATTCAACCTGAAGTAACCCTCCAGAACTGGTAATAAATGCACCACCTTGATGTACCTATTCTTAATTGGGTGAATTCGCAACCCCAAACCCTGTAAAGAGAGTTGTTGAGTAAAACTCACTCTATGGGTGAGATGTAGAGGAGAGGATACCTCATGAATCCATCGCACAATTAACCAAATCACCATATTAGAGCATCTGAATTAATTTTCCATTTTGCGCCTGTTTCTTTCCTTCCAGATTTCCTAGACTGCAAAACAAGCAATCAACCCTATTGTAACAACCCATTGTTTTTTTTCCTGAGGAGAGGAGTTCCTTAATACTCTCATTACCCCTGAAGGGAAGCCCAAACAATCTACTAAAGAAAAGCCTAACTTTTCGAGCTAGATAGCCATGCACTAGCAAATGATTAACGTTCTCTTCTGAGTGATCACGACAGCAGATACATCTGGATACAAAAGGGATCCCCAATTCCTTTATATCAGAGTCCACCCCTACCTTACCCACCATAAGTTTCCAGACAAAGAGGCTTATCTTGGTGGGCACTAGAGCATTCCAAACTGCTTTGTACCAATCTACCGTAGGATGAGCATCCCTATAAAAGGACCAAGCTGTTTTAACAGAGAACTCTCCTTTCGTTTCAGGAAGCCAAACTATCTTGTCTTGGCTATTAGAGAGCTTCACTCCTGACCTCTGAATCTGTCGGAGAGCCTCATCCTCAAGAAACCCCCTAACCTGATCCAGACTCCAAATTCCTGCCTCATCAACAACATCACAAACTCTCAACTGCAAATTAAGACCATCTAGCTGAATGGCTTTCTCAATTAAAGGACATCCATGGTCCAATTATCCAACTAGAAGCTGATTTCGCCCCTTCCCACTAACCACCTCGAGAGAAGGACTAAATCACCTCTTAGTTCCATGTTCACCTTCCAGGTACGAGAAGTATAGCACGGAGGGATGGCTGTATAGAAATGACCACCCTTCAACACCTTGGCTTTGAAAAATTCTGCCCACAACGAATTTTGGAACAACACTCGCCACAAAGCTTTCAACCTGAGTGCTTTTTGGACATCATATAAGCTTTTAATGTGCAGCCCACCTTCAGAAAAAGGTCTCACAATTTTCCTCCAAGCTATCCAATGGTGATGACTACCTGTCTCTGAATTAGACCAAAGGAATCCTTTCATCAATTGATCTAGGTGTTTGATAACCTTCTTGGGGGTTGCAACTACCGACATCAAATATATTGGAATACTGCTCAACACATGTCTAAGTAAGACCAACTTACCTCCCGATGAAATCATTTTCCCTTTCCAGCCCGAAATTTTTGCTGCCACTTTCTGCACAATCTCATCAAATGCTTATGCTTTCACTCGGCCCTTACCAATGGGGATCCCAAGGTAGGTGAAGGGGAGAGACTTATGCACGTAGCCCATGACTGAAGTTATGATTTGGATTTCGCTGCGAGAGGCTTTTGTTGAATTGAAACAACAGCTCTTCGCCTTGTTCACCAATTGACCCGAACATTGCTCGTACCTTCGGATTATTGACATTACTTTCTCTAACACCTTCTTGGACCCTCTTGTGAAGATAATGGTGTCATCAGCATAGAGGCTGTAGGTGATAGGAGGGCAGCCCCTGTGAGTCACATAAGCATTTGCAGGATACTGTACGCCTAGCTTGGACTCTGCTGAGTACCTCCTCTACAATGATAAACAAATACGGCGAAAGGGGATCCCCTTGCCGCAAGCCTCTGGTGGACTGAAAAAATCCTGTGACTCCTCCATTCCAAAGAACTGAAAACCAACAATTCACAACCATTTTTCTAATCAAATCAATCCAATGTTCACTAAAACCGAACCGTTTTAGGACTTTGAAGAGGAAGTCCCAATTCAGCTGATCGTAAGCTTTGGCCATATCCAGTTTCAGCACAACATTTCCCCCCCACAACCTTTCTATGAATATCAGTTATCACTTCCTGTACCAAAGCTACATTATCCATGATGTTTCGCCCCTGAATAAAAGCACCTTGCTCTAGTGAAATTAACTTAAGGTAAAATACCCGCCAGTCTTTTTGTAAAGATCTTTGCAATAAGTTTGTAGTAGAAATTACCTAAGCTGATGGGACAAAAACTTGTGAAACTCTCAGGGACCTTGCATTTTGGTATCAAAGAAATAAAGGAGGAAGTGTAAGTCACTGGAAGCTGGCCACCATTAAAAAAGAATTGGACAACCCCTACCACATCTGCTCCAACAATGTCCCAGCACGAGACAAAAAAATGTCCTATAAAGCCATTCGGTGCACTATCTTTGTCCATGGCATGGACCACCTCTTTAATTTCTGTCTCAGAAGGTACGACCAAAAGATTGGCATAGTCTTCCTGATTAACCACACACAGAATGATATCCAACAATTCCTCATCACCAACTGCTCCTTCCTCTGAGAGAGCACTACAAAAAATTTACAACACCTTGTTTTAACTCCTCTGGGTCAGAAATCCAATCACCTGTGGAATTTTTAATCTTGCTAACTCTGCTCCGCATTCGGTTCAGCTTAATAGACATATGAAAAAATTTTGAGTTTCTATCCCCCTCTTTCAACCATTTAATTCTCGATTTCTGCCTCTAGAAAATTTCCTCCTGTTTGTGAACTTCATGAAGTTTCTTCCTCTCCTCCCTTAACTCCGTGAGGCTAGCTGCAAAGTTCATCTGTAAGTGATTCAATTCAGCCTATTGGACCCTGTCTTCTGCCTCCTTGATAGCCTGATGAACATTCCCAAAGATCTCCCAGTTCCATTGCTTGAGAAATAAACTCATCAATGGGTTGGCGTGAACCTCCTTAGTTCAACAACCCCTGACCGTCGTTTGAAAAGAGTGATGAGAGAGCCACATCTGCTAAAACCGGAAAGGTTTAGGACCTGTCTCTCTTTTCTCCACAGTAAAAACTAGAGGGCAGTGGTCTGAACAGGTGCGATTAAGATGAGTCACAGGCTTCAAAGGAAAGGATTACGCCCAGCTTGAGTTAACCAGAACTCGATCTAGACGAGCCCAAACACAATCTAAGCCCTCTCTGTTATTGCACCAAGTAAATCGGCTTCTAGAGAAACCCAAATCAACCAGTCCTACAACATTTATTAGATCCGCAAAATCCTCTATTGCAAACACATCAGGATTTCTTCCCCCCACTTTCTCCTCTGTACAAGTAAACACATTAAAATCTCTAGCTAACAACCAAGGTTCAGAAATACTAGAGGCTAAGTTCCGAATTCTGTCCCAAAGAGACATTCTTTCCAGCCGATCACATTTGGCATAAACCACAGAAAGAATGAAACTATCATTGGTAGTGGTGGTGACTTTCACCGATAGGATTTGATCACAATCATCAATCAACTGTACAGAGAAAAGACTATTCCAAAAAATAACAATTTTGCTACTGATATTCACCATAAAACTAGTCATATTGAGTCTCCTAGAAATCTGGGAAAGTCTATCATCCCCAATCATGGTTTAGAAACTGTTACTACCCCTAACTTATGCAGTTTACAAAGTTTTTTCAGACGAGTGATAGAGGGATCATTTGCAATCCCTCTAATATTCCAGAAAAGACCATTCATTGAGAACACCTAGAAGTAGTCATACCTTGGTCAGTCTGCGATCAGGTAACTGGTCTGTTCTCACTTTGAACATATTTTTCCGAGGCCTTTTCTTGCGAACCACCTGTGTCCAAGTCGCTTCCACTTCTAGCCCGACTTCGTCCTTAGATAAGGCACAGGAAGAATTTTGAGCTCTCTCAGTAATTTTATCGAGCAGCTCGACATCAGAACTGAGGCCAGTGTTGTACCCCCTACGAGAAAGTCTCTCGTCCAATTCCAACTTGGATTGTTGCAGCTCCTCCAGACTCCAGATCCTGTCAGGTTTCCTAGACGAGAAAGAAATCGTCTCCAGACCGACTGGCCGAACAAGCTTCAAAATGACATCATCTTTAGAAGCAAAAGACATCTGCACCCCCTTTACAGGTAATGCCAGCTGTTCTGGAATTTCAGTTTGCTGATCCTGGATTTCTTCTGTATCTGTGTTTTCTATCACTACAGCTTCTGGTACCAGTGTTGGGGTTCTTCAAACCTTCTGGTAAACCTGCTTCACAGTTTGTATTTTTCTGGGTGCTTCAGGATTACCAGGCATTTTAGCTGAAGTGGGTTTAGACTTGGTGACTTCTTCCTCAAATTTCGAATTTCTCTTCAGTTTTAGTTTGCATTCCCCCTCACGATGACCATATTTGAAGCAGAAGGTGCAATATTTGGGGAGGTTCTCATAAACAATTTTCTACCAGAAACCTTACTTGTCGAGCCCAACCCAAGCACGACTAGGGTTTTCTTTTAGCAGATCCACCTCCACGCAAACCCTAGCCGCGGTTGTTCTGGTCAAACGAGCAGTAGCCGGATCAACTTTTAGCACCCTTCCTGCTACCTACACAATTGATCACAAGTACTTGTCATTGTACAAATTAATCGGCAACATTGGTAGAGAAATCCAAAGAGGAACCACTGACGGTTCCCAACCTAACTCTTCACTTTCAAATCTGAGAAGCACATGTCTCGGATGTAATGCAGTGACCACAATGGCTTTTTGGAGTCTAAAAGTACCTACCAGAAATTCCCTGATCTCCGCTAGGGAAGGACGACCATATGAACATTTTCCAACCAAAGCAAATTGGAGAGGGGAGAGAGATCTCTCAATATCTTCTTCTGAGAACAGCACTGCCGGTTCTCCCCATTTGATCGAAGGTACTTTCAAAGGAATATCCACTGCCGGTGGATCAAGAACAGCAGGAAAAGGATTCGCGGCAGCAGCAACCACCGAGGCAAAGGAAGGAGCACCTCGAGAATCCCCAGGCAGCTCCCCCATTTCGTCGAGAATCCCCAGATCAGCCCCCAAATCCCACAAAACTCTAGTTTAGTCAAATCTAGGGTGGGGAGGGTCTTTTTGTAGGGTGGCAGTTCTTATCTCATTTAATATTTTGTTTAGGAATGGGCCGCTTGTTCATATTTTGTGCATTCTTGTATATCCATCCGTATACATCTCTTAATCTCTTATTCTTTTTTTGTTGATTGATATATTATTCTTAGTTATCTCTTTGAAAAAAAGAAGAATAATGCATTCCGTTACAGTTTAGATCTGTACTGGTTTCAGCCCTAGAATAATAGAGAAAAAGAGCAGAGAAGAAAGAGAGAAGAGAGAAAGAAGAGAAGAGCAGAGAAGTAGGAGAGAAAGATTGGTTCGAACTAGAGAGAATCGTTCTCTCTCTAGTCGGCTAGATATTATTTATAGCTAATTAAATCACAAAGATAGTTATTCCCCTAATTAAGTATGGGACACAACACTTAAACCAGAATATAAAAGACATTACAGCACACTCTTAACATAAAACAAAATGACCAAACTACCCCTTTATGGACAACTCTAAAACTCCTCCTCAAGTTGGTGAGTATTTGTCATATAGCCCCAGCTTGTTACATATGTAATCCACTCTTTCCTTTTCTCTTTTTTTTCTTCTCTTTCTTTTTCTTTCCCTTCCCTTTCTTTTCTTTTCCTTTCCTTTTCTTCTTTTTTCTTTTTTTTTCATATCTTTTTATATAAGGTGTGCATGAGGCGTATGCCTCTAGCATGCTTCATGAAAAAGCGCAAGAGGTGTACACCTCAGAGGTGTCAGCTCCTCTGGCATACGCCTCAAGGCGTTTTGGGAGCACCGCACCTCTAGGCGTATGCCTCCCATGCCTTTTAAAACACTGGAGGGAAGGGTAGATTCACCCAGTATCTGTGCTCTCACCAGTTCATATTCAGACTTCAACCCTACTAAAATTCTGGTTACATCAAGTTGTTCTCTTTGTTGTTGCTGAATTTTGACATTAGATGTAAGGGGATGATATACATTCAACTTATTCCGAAGATTTCTCATGCTAGCATAATACTCCTCAGGCTTTGATTACCCTACTGTAGATTAAAATACTCTTAGCAAAGTTGGTATACTTTGGTAGTGTTATTTTGCCCAGAGTAAAGCTTTTTTGCATGGTCCCAAATCTCCCTGGCTATATCTAAGAACATAAAGTTCACACTAATCCTGGGTTCCATGCTATTCTATAACCATGTCATAATCTGTGCATCTTCTTGTTCCCACTTACTATACCCCTGAGAATTAACTTCTTTCACATGCTTCACCTTCTTCTTAGCCCTAAGAAAAACATTTATAGACTTAGCCCAAGGCACATAATTCTCACTATCCAGTTTAATAGAAAACATCTGCACATTCAGGTAATCAGGGGGAATCATAACACTAGATTTGTGTTCATTGCTGTCTCCCATAGCTGCCATGATTAAAAAGAAACTTTTCACTCACTAGTATGTCACACCACCTCGCTTGCTAGCCACCACACTGCACACTAATGGGTGGTTATTGCTGAAAACATCTGCTGTCACAGTTTTCAGCAATAATAGTCACTGCTATCCTACAGTTTCAACATCACAAAACCACCCGGATAGACCCCATACACATACCACTAGGTCTACTACCAATCAATACCTGTTTCACACTGTAACACCCATGCAACCCACCTATTTGAACCACACAAATCAGTTTGACACTAATCTGTCCATACACCACCTGAAACAGCCCTCTTCAATCCATAACCACCTGAAATGATCACTGCACCACCAACTGGAGGCATGAAAACCTCTAGAAGAAAACGACCACTCCTTTTTCAGCCCTTCTGCAAAATTTCTGGTTAGATCTGAACTGATTACAGTTGCTCTGATACCATGTTACTGTTCAGATTTGTACTGGTTTCAGCCCTAGAATAACAGAGAAAAGGAGCAGAGAAGAAAGAGAGAAGAGAAGAAAAGAGAAGAGAGGAAGAAGTAGGAGAGAAAGACTGGTTCGAACTAGAGAGAATTGTTCTCTCTCTAGTTGGCCAGATATTATTTATAGGTTTCTAATTAAAATCACAAAGAAAGTTATGCCCCTAATCAAGTATGGGACACAACACTTAAACCAGAATATAAAAGACATTACACCACACTCTTTACATAAAACAAAATGACCAAACTACCCCTTTACAGCTGACTCTAACACATTCCCTTGTATTCAACCCATGGCTAAAGGTAGGCGAGGAGGCATGGTTTTGTGAGGAAGTTGATCTATCAGTCTCTCAGCCCAAAATACTATTCAAAAGAGATATACAAGTCCACCCAGACAAATGATAATTACAAGTATACTTAAATCATGCAAAATCAGAAGAATACGCTTTCAATTATCAGAAATATTTCTCAACAGATAAATTTGATACCAGATTCTGTAGCAGTCTCTTCATTGATATTTAGTTGAAAACATTCTTAGATGATGGATGCACTTTCAGCAGCCAAACAAGGAGTCAGCTATGAAATTTACTCTAGAGTTGAAATGTTTAATTTTTCTTAATTAATCATTTAATCGGCAATTAGTGAACGCTTAGTTGAATATCAATCATTTCCCCCTATTTTCTATTTTGATTTTTTTTTTGATATGGTAATACATCACAGGTTTCAAGATCTCCTTCTGAATTGGAGATTGTCCTTGGGGTTATAAAGAATTATTCCAAAGTTCACTTAGGAAGAGAGGGTATGTCAGCTGCTACAAAGCAGCTACTTCTTTTCGAGGTATAATCTTCATAGACTTTTTTCTTTACACTTGTTTTAATTAAAGCTGTTACGTTGTTTTAGTTCATTAACTCATTTAGTTGTAAAGAAACATTTCTATTAGGAATCATTCATTTAGTTAATCTTTCCCTTGATATATATATATATATATATATATAAATTTTCTAGTAATATAGAAATTAGATTTGTACTAAGTAAATGAAAAAAAATCCATCATTCATTATGAATTTGTATTATAAAAGTCAGGTTATTGAGAGAAGTAAAGCACTTGGACAAGGGGTTGTGTCTCTTTAGATGTCCTAGTCATTGGGTCCTTCTATTAACTTTTTTCCAGTTAGAAGAGAATTGAGACAGGCCATCCTTTCTTGTCTTTACTTTTCACTGCTCTTTCTGTTTTGTTAAGCAAGCTAGTGAATACAGCTGATAGTATTGGTTTCAGGGTGGGTTGGGAGGATATGGTGGTCTCTTACCTTCAACTTGCAGACTATAGTGTCATTTTTTGTGAAGATCATGAATGGTGGGAGTCCATAATTTGCATGCATTGACCAAATGATGTGGAAGAATCTGTAGGCTTATGTGTCATGATTAATCTTCAGAAGACTAATTGCAAATTTACAATTGATTTGGAGGAGGCCACTAAAAGAGCTTATGCTAGTATCTTGGAGCTCTTAAAATGGTTGTCAAGAGAAAGGAATCATAAGGACTTCTTATGAGAGCCAAGTGATTGAAACTGTTTGTAGTAGGAAAGAGGATAGTTGCTTGGGATATGGAAAGCTTGGGGATACAAATACATCTTTGCCAAGGTAAATATCTTTTTTTTATCAGCAAAAGAGAGTAATTTAAAATAGGTTTAAAATAAAGTTTTACAGCTTGTAGATGGGAATAATGTTCCCAAACTAGTATATTTCTGTCCCACTTTACAGCGCAGCCCAAAACAATTGTTGCCTCAGTGCCCCTTGTTTGGCAAGATAATCAGCTAGCCCATTTGTGCTCCTTCTAACCCATTTGAATTCAGCCTCTACCTCCTTTGCAATCTTTTCCACTTCCCTAATCACATGTTTGAAGGTCCACGGAGTAATTCTATTGTTTGTAGCCCAAGAGATGATCACCTTTGAGTCCCCCTCTACCTCAGTATGCCTAAGTCCTAGCTGCTTAGCTAGCTTCAACCCTTGTAGCAGTGCCAATAACTCAGCTTTTAGTGAATTGCCAATGCGAATTGGTCCTGATAACAAATCCAATATCCTCCTTTCAGAATTTCTGGTTGCTCCTCCTATACCTGACAGTCCCAGATTTCCAACAGAGCTTCCATCAAAATTCAGTTTGCTTGTTCTTGGGAATACCTTTGGTTATTCCCTTTAGAAATTAAGAGATTCTGAAAACTAGCATTTAGACCTTTCTAGTACAGCTATGTTTGCTTGTTCTTGGAAATCCATTTGTGATGCTTTGCCTACCTTTCTCCACTTTATCAGGTATGGTCTTTCTTATTGGAACAATGTAAAAATCCTAGAGGACCATTTCTCGTTTCTTCTTCTTGTTTCTTGTGGGGTTCCTAGTTTATTTTGATTTCTTTGAACTTTATGCTATTTCCCTTCTCGTGATTGGTAATAGGTTGTGTTTGGTTGAAAGAAAAGGTGAGTGTGAGGTGGGATTCGACACTGTGAAGGTCCATCCCCGAAGATCCAAGAGGAACAACAAGCTAAACAAGGAGGAGGGGGAGGGAGGGAGAAGGAGCTGGATGGACCCCCAGAGAGGATGCCTACATACCCTCTGGCGAGGGATCAGGCTGTTGTAGTTCGTCGGTTCGGGAATTTTGGTGGGAGAGATGGATCTACAAAAGGGAAGTGGGGAGACTAAGAAAGGTTGCCAAGACAGGGTCTTAGATCTTAGATCTTAGATCTGAGAGGTAGGAGGATCTTAGGCGGGAAAGGAAACTCTGATGTGGGAAGGAAACTCACGTGGTCTGAATGGATAGGAACGTGTTGTGGATCCTCTGAGAGGATCCCCTATTTATAGATATCCTCGGAGGTTTGAGTGCCATGGGGAACGCAATGGAGTTAAGGATAATGCGGTGATAGGCTAAGTGCAATGCAATGGGAAGTTGCAATACGGAGCTGTGAAACGAAATTGCAATACTGATTTCTGAACAGATGGGTTTTACTTGTGCTTGGGTGTTGTCTCACCCATCGCATATCATAGGTGGTGTGATGGCTAACTCCATGTACTTACAGTAGGGAAAAGGTAGGAAAACTTATACAAGGTTGTATAATGAAAAGATGGGTTTCCCTACCTTTTCTTTCAAATCAAACATAGCCTTAATGAAATCAAGCTTTGAAGTAATAGAGTGTGTGCCTAGGGTCATCCCTTTAGAAAATAATAGGCCAGTCCTTATTACCTAGCTCCTTAATTTCACCGTTTTCTTACTTATAAATTCCAGAGTCTCAAGGGGATAATCTCTTCGATATAATTGATTCCTATGCACTCCTTGTATAGTAATGCATCAGCCAAACTGTTTGCTGATCCTTTTTTTTTTCAATCAACAACAGAACCATTTTATTAGAATTAAGAAAGAGGATACAAGATTCGAGCTATTAAAAACAGTTCAAAGATCAACTGTTTGCTGATCTTTGAACCCAGAAAGTCACTCTCAAGACTCAACTGTCTGACCAGGTGCCTCACTTCTCTTATGATGTGGCTGTACTGGCAAGATTCAAGCTATTGTTTTGGAACTAAACAATTATTATCTTAGACTCACATTTCACCACATTGTTTTTGTTGTTGAAAGCATAACCCAATTTCCCTTGTAGTAATGCAAATAGTTCTGCTCTTTTTTTATCAATAACAGAACAAAGTTTTATTAATTGAGTGCAAAAAAATGTACAAGTATGCACCTAGCACATAAAAAATGCAGCTAGCCCTTGCTAGCCCCCATTCTACACTTTTTACAAACCCTCGGTCTGAGAGATCACACCCCAAGATAGCTGATGTCTTGCTGCTCCCTTTTTTTTTCTATCCATCAACCAAGGAGTTGGCTGACCTTGGAACCCATCTATAGACCATATGTAGATTATTGATCCTTTCTTTGATCTCTCTTATAACATGTGCATGCCTCCAGGAGCCCGTTTCTCTTTTTGTTAGCCACCTCTTAATAACTTGTGAGTCCCCTTCCACCATTAAATCTGTAATATTTAAGGAATTGGCTAGTGTTAGGCCACGTCTAACTTGGTAATTCTGCTCTAGTTGAGTCTCCAATGCAAGGTCCAGAAAATAATGCAATTAGTTTCCTTCACAATCTCTTAGAGCACCTCCACAGTGTTGTAATGTTCCTTGCTGAAGAGGAGCATGCCACAACCTGCCAATTCTTTATAACGTCACCAGTAAAGAAATCTCTAAACACCTTCAGTGACTTGTGATCCACCTTAATGGAGATAAATGGTTTCTTTGGAGTTTGACATCTCTCTAAAGATTCTTGATTTCCTTTCTTGCCAAATGCAGCACAGTATTGCGGCCCTTGTGCATTTTAATATGATTTTGCCTAAGAAAAAAAATTCCAAGATAGGTTCTGAACATCATTTGGTAGAATCCACTGGCATCAAAACAAAGAAAAGAAAACTTTCAAATACTAGTGACGAAGAACAGGAGATTAGGTGGTGAAACATATTTTCACAGCTTACTCTGCAAAGAAAGCATATATTGGGAAACAAATAATAATTGAGCCTTTTTGTTTGGATCACCTTCCATGTGTTTATTTATTTATTTATTTGATAACTGAAGTTAGATTTTATTAATTCTGAAACTATAATCATTACAAGCATCCCTCAAAGAGGCATGGGATGCCCAAAACAGAAAAATTACAAGTGAGCCCAAAACAAAGATTGTCTTTTCAGCCCTTGCTTGGCTAGAGTATCAGCTAATCCGTTTGCCGATCTCCTCACCCATTGTATCCTCAAATTCATATTCTTGGTGATCCATAAAATCCTTTTTAATTCATCCCTGTAGCCCCATATCACAGATTCTGAATCCTTTAACCAACCCACCACCAATTTTGAGTCCCCTTCAATCACCAAATTGGTTATGTTCAGCTCATTTGCAGTTTGTGAACCTTGTAAGGCTGCAAGCAATTCTGCCTTGAGAGAATCCCTCTACCCCAATGGACCAGAAAACAAGGCTATTAATTTGCCTTCCATGTCTCTCACAACCCCTCCTATACCAGCAGGTCCTGGATTCCCCCTGCTACTCCCATCAAAATTCAGTTTTTACATAATCCTGAGGTGGGGGGTGCCATGCAACATTTATTCTTTCCTTTCTAGAAGAGCTTCTTGCAACACCTTCCCAGTTCCTCCATAAGTCGTCAGGAGAAATTTGAGAAAACAGGTCCAAAGATTTGATCCAATGGATCACTCTAACCATCACGCAATCCTTTATCTCTTCCTTCCCAAATGGTCCAAACCAAGGCTGCTCTAACACACCTCCACATTATTCTTCCCCTCTTTTTTGGCCAAGTAAACATAGAAGGATCAAACATCAAAGTTAACCTTCGCTGGTAAGGACCACTTGCACCCAAACAAAGAAAAAAACCAATTCTGTATCTGCAACAAAGAGCAAGAAATCAGTAAGTTATAGCAACTCTCATTATCAGATCTGCACAAAACACACCAGTTTGGAAAGAGACATAAATTGGGTCTCCTCTTTTGTAGCATTTCCAAAGTATTAATTTTCCCATGAATTACTTGATTACTTCCCAACAAAAAGCTCTTATTTTAGGGGGAATGGGTTTGCACCAAAACTCTCTCAAGGGAACCAAAGGAGAGGGCAAAGAATCACAAAGAGACCTGAAAAAGGAAGCACAAGAAAATAGACCCTTAGGGTGAGGGGCCCAAACACGCTTGTCTGACTTATCAGGATCACCTACCATGAATACTGGCTACCACCTTGTGCCAGAGTTTGTCCTGTTCCCGTGGCCATCTCCATAACCATTACCCTAGCCATTCCTCTTTTTATCC